GCATATTTTAAGAAAATTAACCGAAGTGAAACTGACTTACTGTGAGTATGCAAGATTGAATAATGTCTTCCTAAAGAATCCCCCTGCATCTAATCTCTGAGTCAACCCTGAGAAAATATAATAACAATTATTTTGATCATGGGAGATATGAACTTGCATTCAAGTAAAAATATTAGCATCCACAGACCAAAGAGATAAAACCAGTACTGCATTCATACAATTGGTTTTGCCTATAGAGACATAAGTCCTCAATTATTATTATCAGGCAAAAAGGATTATGACGACATCAAAATCATATAGTTCACACATGGACAGCTTACCAGCATAAATTCTATCTAAAACACGAGGAACGGCACAGAAAATGCTAGGTTTGAGCTCCCCAATATCTTCAACCAGTAGTTTAACATCCTGCAGAATAAAAATGATAAGCAACATTTACAAAGCTTATATTTGGTGCATGAAGAAAATCAAATGATTACTCACCCCACGCCAAAACCCAATGGAGGCACCATGTAAGATAAACAACTCCTCGAGCACCCGGTCAAAGATATGTGCTAGTGGAAGGTATGACAAATAGACATCTTTCGCATTCATCTGTATGAGAGAGAGAGAGAGATAAGTAAGAAATACAATGCATATCAATCTAGATCGACTGTTCCATAGGTTATGTTGGTTAAATTTTCATTTCCAGGTTATCATAAATAAAAGATTGTGAAGTACAAATTTACTAAGGAAAACTACCTCTTCATTTACACTCTCTAATAGACGCTGGACACCAGCTATAAGTGAAATTATGCTTTTGTTTGATATCATCACTCCTTTGGGATCTCCAGTAGTGCCACTTGTATACATGATTGTGGAAATGTCACTTTTCTTTTTCACAGGGAGATCAAAATGTTGATTTTCACCCTGTTTAAAGCAGACACCAAAAATTTGATGAGTAATACTTTTTTCATTGTGATGAGAAATGAAGGAAGTGGAAACAACATTTCAGTTCATCATCCATATATACCTAGATTATCTTAATGATGAAGTTATCAGTTGATCATCCATACTCAGAAGTGAAAACAACAAACAAAATGTTACCATGGAAAACTTTGTGCAGTTGAGACAAAGAGTTTCAGGCAAAATACTAAATTATTTAATAAGGGAGACCTTATGCAGGTGAGCCAAGAGATCAAATATAATACTTACCAGAAGCAAAAATTCATCCCAAGAAAATATTTCAAGCCCATACTTCTCAAACTCCTCTCTTAGATTAGGTGCAACCTTGCCAAAACTCACAATTGCTACAAACAAACAAATGAAATCTTTTAATAAAAATAAAAAATTTAAAAAGATGAAAATGTTGCTTCAATAGGCACATCATTGGCATGAGAATCTAAATAGAAATAAAAATTTACTTTTCAAGTATTTGGTTGTGCTTGGGAATGTTTTCAAGACCTGAAAAGAAAAATATAAACTTCATATGATCAAAACTACCCAGGAGAAGTTAATCTGCATAAATGAAGATACTAAATTCTCAGAGTAAAGATGCATAGTTAATCTGCATATATGTAATTCAAAAGTAAAGATACTAAATTTCTGACTTCGACCATATAAGTCGGTACCTCAGGAAGCTTCTTCTCTTCTACAAAAACAACAGAAATCTCTGCATGGCAAATAATAAATTCCACAGCTCCAGCGCCTGAACAATGAATCAGTATGATAGAAAGTTCATCAGCTTCCTTTTATTTTACTGATGAAAGAGATACAGAGCACGCTTGATATTATACTCAAACCACACAATATAATTATAAATTTAGAACAAGCATACCTAATGTGTCGTACAAGGGAACACAATAGAGCCCATGAGCATTACATGCCTGCAAGTGAACTTCAATGTCATGCAATATTCATCTAGAATAAAGTAGCAATAACTTAGACGGATGTCAAGAATACAAAGACAAGTTCGAAGTCATCCACAAATGCATTAACAGTTAAAGAAAAAACTCTCGAAGAAGATAAAAGATGAACGGTATCAAGAAATTAGTCAGGAGCAAAAGTTAAACTCTACCTCCATGCTTATTATCCACTCTGAGCAATTGGCACCGTAGATACCACATTTTGCTCCCTATAAATAGAGATTAGTTAAAGCATTAATCCACAAGATTTGCAGAGATCTACTTGCATAAATTAATCAAATAACCTAGAGAGGATGGAAACTTACTTCCTCAAAACCACGACTGCGCAAAGAATTTCCTATTTTTATGACCATATCGTACACTTCCTTATATGTTAGCCACACATATTTACCAGCCTGCGATAAACAGATCCAAGACACAACTTACTGCAAGGTTTTAGTAGATGATAGAAAAACAAAAACAACACTTTGGAGCGTCTGGATTATGTGCAAGATGCATATACCTTCCCATTCACAATCTCACGTCGGCCAAGCATTCGATTACCAGGGTTTCTCTCCACTGACAACCTGCAATACAGCAGTAATCAATGGATAAATTGACACACTGCGTAATATTCCCCAAACTTTTTCCCGTAAGGATTGCACAGAAACACGAAGGCCTCAACATGATAAGCGAAAGCACAGCTGAGACAGCCGAGAGAAAAGTGTTGATCAAAGCTCAGAAACAAGAAAAAAAAAATGGAACTGCGAAGGAGGATGAAGCTCAAATATGAAAATAAGAACAGAGCAAGCAGAATACAGACACCTATCATGATACAATAATTTATATCTAAAGAAAAAAACATTTTAATCTCAAGCAATTTAAACTACGACAGTTCCAATTAAGGCAGCAGAACCAACTACTTAGGAAAACAACAACAACAGTGAACTGTGAAACTTCGAACAAAACAAATCGAACTGAACTGAACTGAACTTAACTAACGATATCAATAAAACAGGAAACCATTTCTACTTAGTTTCCTTCCACAACAGAATACCAAAACAAAGCACAAAATGCAGAATCTAGTAGCGGTTTTTCACAGCAACAAAGTAGATAGTGAAGAAAACACACCGAAATATATCCCAACAGCTATCCAATCCTTCAATGGGAGGCGGAAACCCATCCTTAGCGAAAATACTTCTGTAAACAGGTCCAATCGAAGGCCTTCCATCAATGGCGGCCTTAGACTCCTCCACCTGAATCAAATACTTCATCTGCGACATCCTTCAGCCTCCGCTTTACAGAGCAACAATCCAAATAACGAGTCTGTAGTGTATGAATCCTTCAAATTTCGATGAATTTGAGAAGCTGAAGTTGGTTTTATACAGACGTCAAAGTACAGAAGTCGTGAAGACCGGTGGCTGTGGGTGACCTGACCAAGTGGCGTATGCGGTAAATACACCCACTTAACTTTTCTTCTTTTTCTTCCTTCACGAAAATAATTACAAATTTAGTCCCTCACTTTTTTTGTATTACCAATTTAGCCCCTCAATTTCTTTAAAATTTAATTACATTTTTTAAATATTATGGTGCACTACGATGTGATATATAGCCAAACAATAAATGACATATTGTACTTACTCCACATAAGTTTTAAATTTAATATATGGGTCCAAAATTTTAACACTTTAATTAACATACACTTTAAAAACGATATTTATTAATAAAAATATGATTGAATTATATTCATATTAGCAAGGTTTTTCATTATTATTATTATTATTCTTTTTACAAATTTGATATTAAAAATGAATTTAATTTTCTAGAAAGAGGAAAAGACGCAATAATAATAAAAACTTTACATTTCTTTAAAAATATTTAATATAAAAAAATAATTACTTAAACTGGGGGAGAAATAAATGTAGTGGGCCCCACGGCGATTTATTTTTATTTTATTTGTGGGGAGAGAATAAACTTGAATGAGGTTAGGATTGGTAGACCCGTTTGGGATTGGATTTTGTGGAGTTAATAAACGGTCCACGTCAACATTTAATATTTTTCTTAAAATACCAAATTTATGTGGGGTTTACGTATTCCATTGTTTTTTTTAATAAATAAATAAAATATTTTATTTATTTTGTTAAAAAAAACGATGGAAATCATATGAAAATCATTACATTTAAATTATTTACTATTTTCATGAATTATATACAACAATTTAATTAATTTTTCAAATAATTTTGATGGATTCTTGATACAAATGGGTATTTTTTTTTAGTAATTAACCAGTTCTAAAAATTTTGCGTAATAATTTTTTTTTCATTAATTTTGATGCGGCAAAAATATTTGTTAATGGAAGAAAGAAAATTAAAAATTGGATAAATGAGTGGTTAATTGAATTAAGGAGAGAGTTCTGGAGGTTGGCTATACACATCATTTAGTTGGGAATTTATGTTTAATTTTAAATGTGTCTCTAAAATATTCATTATCGTTAAAATATGATCGTCCTTTATAAATTTTCAATTATATATATGGAAATTTTATATTTAATAGAATTCTCAAATTTTAATTTAAAGTTCAAAGTTTAACGAGATTTTAATACAAGGTAAAAATAAATAAAGTCCAAACCTATCCTTACATAGTATGAAACTATATCATAAAATTCGGCAAAAAATCAAACGTCACAATTATGGCGAAACTTATTGCAAAGGACCTTCAAGTTGGCATTTATTGGGTTGGTTATCCAACTCGTAGAAAATTTTCCTAATTTTGGGTGTTTTTTTTCTTTATTTATGTGTTCAAATAATGCCTAATGAAGTTGCACAAAATATAAAAATTGCTTTAAATTGATGATCAAAATATTTAAATTATTGATAAACCCAAAAGAAAGGACCAAAATATCATGGAAAGTTAATAAAATAATTGTTTTAGAACATAAAAGGTGCATTTAATCATAGCATCCCAGAAGCAATTAATACTACTCTCATTCAATTGGGTCATTTGTTGTTGGTTGATTGGTGAGCTTCTTCAAATGGTTCATTCATCTTGTGTGAAGACTTTAAATTTGGAGTTTGTTATTTAAGCATAACCAACTTCTTGACTTTACAACACACCTTGAACACAGATCATCCAACACTTTTCTAATATCTCAGCTCTGTTTTACAAAGTATTCTTATCAAAAATCCAAAATTCAGATTCAACTTGTAGAATTTCTTACAAGCAACAATTTATTTTCTTTTCTAATAATATCTCTATCTCTTCCTGGGGTATCAAAATTATCAAAGCAACTGGTTATATATCAAAACTACAGAAAGTTAAATGAATGTAATAATACACCAATACCTGAAACTAAAGTATAAGCCTCACTTTTTCTTGTTCTTCATCTTTTTCCTTCCCTTCACTTCTTTTTCCAAACTTCTAAGCCTCTGACTGATGACCGACGATGATGAGATTTTCCGGTCTTGCGACGGTGACAGTTCAGCTGTTAATGTAGTGGCAGTAGGTTCAGGTGCTGCTGTTGCTTGTTTCATAGCTGAAAGAAACGAGAAGGCAGGTTGTGGAGTGGTATTGGTATTTGCTACAGGTATTTCTGGAACACCCAATGCCTTCTTAACCCCGGGGACTTTGAGAACTGAAAATTGTCGAACATGTCATTCAGATTTGTCAGGGGAAAAAGTGAACAGAAGAAAACTATACAAATCTATTAATCAGAGGAAAACAGTAAAAGATCAATGGTGGCAACTAGGAGCTTGAACAACTCACCAATCCCGTATACGAGTGAGAACACGTTAGACGTAACCCAGTAACAGAATATTGCCTGCATGTATTACCAGAGTAAGTGACCTGATACAAATTGAGACATACAAGGGAAGCTATTCCTCATCCAATTTCCAGGTAAACAAGGATCTTGTAACATTAACTCCCAAGCACAATCATATATATGATGCAGCATTAGATGACTTTTTATGAGTGTTAGATATTCTCTTCATACTATGATGAAACTTATCACGTACAGATTACTTGCTGAATTTATAGTATAGAAAATACATGTAATAAAAAATTTATCAAAATACACAATAAATCATAAATGTGTACATGTTATTTAAACCATCAATCTTGCTTCAGATCTTGTCATAGAGTTAATAGTTACTGACGTCAGAAATCAAAACTTAAAGAAAACTTTAAGATGTGAAGCAAAGAACAAAAGTGCAGGATGCAACTAACCAATCTTGGCATTATATTATCATGACTACTAAAGAAAGTGCAAACATTAAAATTAATGCCAGTAACAAAGTTGAGAGCCAGAATGAGGTGAGGACTGCTTGATGTCCGGTGCTTGCATTCAACCCAGAAGGAAACAAACAAAAGCATTTTTTCTTGTTACAAAATAATAGCAAATACCTTAGGAAAATTCATGGTCAAGGGAACCGTAGCTATAGCAAGACCCCTCATCACATTTTTCATTGTGGAAGCTATAGGATTACCTTCCATACCTTCTTGCATGTTGTACTGAGAAAACGAAAGCAGTCAGAATTTAAGATTATTTGTGTAATATACTACTACAAAAAAAGAAATAATATTGTTAACAAAAACAAAAGGAAAATAAAAGTTATGAAACCGGTCAAGTGAATCGATCTTCATTGGAAGATGCAGATGCAGATGATGCAGATGAAGATGAAGATGAAAGAAAAATAATTCTCAAGTGGCTCTAATTAAGTGATTAGGGAAGCAATTTCATTTCAACTTCAGCAAATTAAGCTCGGTTTCATTCTACTACCAATGGTTACTCCATGGAGACTTTGCTAGATTTTTTATTGGTCCAAGATTTATGCTACTGTGATGCTACATACGACTAGTCTAGTACAAGTACCAGGAAAAAGAAAAGAAACAAAATAATATTAAGCATAAAGAAGGGATCCATGTATCTAATCCATAACAAGCCATAACTGCAGGTTTGGGAAAGTAGACAAATACAAATTTACGAATGTCTACCTCCACGGTGATCCAGAATGTCAGCGCAGTTAAAACTGGAAAAATGTACATAGTATCTGGAGTCGTGAGATCAACAAACCAGTATGCTCCACCATTTTTAAAAGAAGGCATTTTCTCTGCCATGTTTGAGACCTGCCAAAGAAAATAATAATTGAGAACAATAAAAGTAATAAACAGTATACGTCAATACCTAAATGATTTATCATTTGTCAGTTTACCCCAAGGAAAAAACTGATGAAGACAGGACCCTGAATAAAAAGTCCCTTCAATGGAGTAAATGGGCTCACACCAAACCTGCAAGGTCAAACTCATGAAACGGAAGACCAACCAAAAACAGTATGTCGAAACCTCCAGAGAGGTCAAAGAGAAAACCAAGGCACACTGATTTGCGAAAGAAAGGTTGTTAGATGAAAATGATCTTCTACAATCACGTTTTATCACTAATTCATTATTTTGTTCATAACCCCCTGCCACCACAAATAAGAATAGTTTCGTTCAGTTATGAACTTTTATTATTAATATAAAATAATGACTTCACAGGCTATGAGACTGGGACATTATTGCGAAAAATAAGAATGCTATTGTATATATTAAAAGGACAAAAAAAAATATGGCAGGTTTGAGATACTATACATTTAGCAAACAAAATAATAACATTTGTTTCCCTATTCAAGTGACTTCAACAACAGCCCAATCAAGAAAATTAACCACTGCAATATGGACATATTTAAAACTATTCATTATTGGGGGCCTAACAGCTAGCTCTTCCCAGAAACCTCCTGATCTGTATTATTTGGTTGCAGGAGGATCCATCTCTTCTGACTTTCAATTTTGAAGGCCATCTTGATCATGGGATTGAGAAGTTAGCTGGTCTTTACTTCAGCTACATTTCTTTTCCTTTCCTTTCTCTTGGTCACACACACACACACACACACACACTAATGCAATTTAATGTGTCTCAAGTTTTAAAAAGTGAACTTACTCATTAAAAAGTTTTTTCATTTTTTGTTGACCCTCAGCAACAGCCCTGGGATCCATACCCTGATGAAAAAGAAAAAAGGGGAAAAAAACTATATAACTTTACTACAATTTTTCAAAGAGTGAGTAAAAAGTGGTGCATAAAATACACTTGCTTTTACATTAAAGAAAATTTGTGATATGATAATCAATAGATGATACTGATCGCATATAAGTACAAGAATCAGACAAGATACCTTTTCTTGCATCTCCGTCTTAACTTCTTCCAAGTGAGGCCTTAACAACTATACAACAAATGAGACTTGATTCAATCTTTAATCAAAGCCACAATACCCAATTAAAAGTTGCATATATTTCACAATAGCAAAATATCAGCATATAAGCTTGCATCACATTAAAATTGAAAACATAGTAAAAGATGCAGGAAGTGCAACAAAAGCCAGAGTGGAGATTCAATGAGCTTTAAGGTTAAAAGAGATAACAGCGATGCCACAAAACTAATTCTATCACAGAAGGTGACAGCTCACGCCATAACAAGAGGGTGAACCCTAAAAGTTGCCAAACCTCCCCATTCTTTAGCCTCTGTAGCATAATCAAATTGCATCCCCCAAAAACTTGGTTGTGCAAGGATAAAGATTTATTGAATTTAATAACTAGCTAGAAAATTCTCTATGCAGCTAGAAAAAGAATGTGGGACTACATCATAAGAACATATCCACATGCATGTTTTTCCCTTCCATTAGATCATTGCTAGAATTAAATGCAAACGAGGAAGCAGAAGAAATATAAAATATTAAGTTCATCATGCCAATTCAATGAAACAAATGAACAGGCATACAAGGTCAGGATTCCAATTTGCAGCCAACTTACCTTCTTTCTGGCTCTAATTAACCAGCTCTCTAGACACAAAGTGGCAGCAATTAAGATAAGCAAAAAGGATGTATATCTTTTTTTTTCCCTCTTTTTTGGATAACTAGGACATCAGAGGCTTCACTCCTAGCAATTTTGTTCCTGTGACACCCCCTTAACCTCGGGAAGGCGTTGCTCATTACAAGACCGCCTCCAAAAACCAAGAACAACGGGGATTTCCAACTATTAAGTTTCCAAACAGAGACTACAAGCTATCTCTGACTCTAAGTATCCTCACAGCCCTTACCGGTGTTAAAGGATGCATGTGTCTTAGAGAAAGAAATAGAAACTCATGGAAAAACATATCTACAACAACCACGATTTGAGTCACATCAATATCAGATATTTATTAAAAGACTGCTCCTTGGTTGAGAATGAGGACTATGAGCTGTATTGACTATTGTTCTAAGGTTCCAGTGCCAAGGCACTGAGTGGATAGCTCAAAATAAATCCCTTGATGACGCTACAGTAACCCAAAAGAACAACAAATTATGAACAAGTGCTAAAATGGAAGAATTTGCATCTAGAAATTGAAGTTGGAGTAAACGTGGAAAATCGAGTGCATAAACAACTGACATACAGTAAGCTTTGCAGTAGATTTGAGTTGATTTATCAAAAGTGGGACTGTTGCACTACGGATCAGCAGGGTTGTTAATACAATGCAAGCCCACCTGACGGATTCCAAAAGTTAGATCATCAGTGAACATTAGAAGTTCAGGGCACAATATATTATAAAGAAATCCAAGTGTGAAAAATTGCGGGTCCTCACCAGTTTAATCCAGTAAAAGAATGAATACCATCTATAAAGTACTGCACACCCTTGACAGAGAGAAAAGAATCAGCAGCAGCAACGGCTACTTCATCAGCAACAGAAGCCTGAGATACAGCTGATTGAACTGTTGTATCTGTAAGAACTTCTGCAACATCACTCATGAATTCAATTTTTTCAGACCCTTCGCCAATAGTACTTGACATGTAGCGGCAGAAAAAGGAACCAGCGCTTGACGAGAGGAAAGTGTTTGGATATTTTCTATCATGAGAAAAAAAATTAGACCTGGATGACTTGTTAAAGCTGGTTCCAAATGATCTGCTCTGCAGGAAACTATTGATTTTTTCATGGGAAATTGAATCTCCATCCAAATGTTCATTTTTACGGTCATTAGTATGACCAAAAATACTAATCGATGGATGACACTGCCGGGCTATAAGATTTGCTCTTGTGCAAAGGCTGCGCCTGTAAGCCATTGATACTGTCTACCGACAAACAACAAGTAATCATATTAAAAAATTGATAGCAGAATTAACCATGAAACAATTAAATTGGAAAGCAAGAAAAAGATTTGAAAAACGTATTAAAAGATAGCCAAAAGATTCTTAATATGGTAAGAACAGACTAAACACCAAATCTAACCCAGTATGCTTAATTATTTGCTTTATACATTACGTTATTATTAAAATGAAATCGAATTAAAAGGTATACTACGTATTTTATCCCACATTAATGGGAGAACAGCCCAGAGTGCTCCAAGAATTTAATTTATTTTCATCCAAATCATGCATTGGCCGAACTTTTTGTCCACTCAAATAACATCCATCAACCTCAACCGTTGATTCACCTACCTCCTTTCTTCCCGTACTCCATCAAACATATAGATAAGAGTCAGAAATCAATACCTCCAACTCCCAATACTGCATTAAAGAAATTTCGAGTCTATGACTATCGGAAAGGGAACAAATGTACGCGCACCTATCATTTTATTACCTCCAAATTGAATCTTAAGACAGTCTTTCTAAGAAGTCGATTGAAATTACCTGTCTAGAGCACAGTCATGTAATTGATTAATTTTCTCAGATTGCTCGCTTGCTTTTCAACTGCAAGTGATAGATTAGTTTGGTTTGGATGTTGCTTTAGCCATAGAATGAAATAAAAAGGTAAACAATGAAAATAAAAACAACGAGTTAAGCGATTCGAGTTAGGTAAGACTGCTTAAAACGCACATCCAGAACGAACACTAATCAGATTAGGAGATGGTCAAGAAGATGGTGAACAGAACATGAAAAAAAAGTAACAAAAAGAAGTACCTGAATGAGAGCTCGACAGTGATCGCGAGGACGGAGGCGGAGAAGGGAGGAGGCCGGAAGAACAGTGCCGGAATCGAAGCGTGGCGCTTACGAAGAGATGCAAATCAGAGGTTTTGGGTTTAGAAGGGCGAAAAAAAAAATCAAGTGAAAAGTCCTTTTTACCCTTATAAAAACTAAAATATATGTACACCACTAAATCTCAAATTTGAGTATAAATGTTATTTTATTTTGGGAAAATAATAATATTAGTAATATCATATATTTATAATATATTATACGGAAAAAAGATTTTGTCCATTTTGAATATTACAATTAAATTGCTAATTACTGTTTGGCGGGAATATATTAATATAATAATACTTTTTATTTGGTAACTGAACAGTTCGATAATATTTTATATTAATTTAATAATATTCTTTTATTTTGAGTGACAAAGATATATTGAAATTATTATTAGTTTTGTTCCTTAATTTACAAATATATGTGATTTTCATAACAAATGGTAAAAATCGTTAATTTTTTAAAAACCAAACTAAAATTAAAAATTAAAAAATAAACTAAATTTTGTCAAAATTATGCTAAGATTGAGAGCAGAAGCATCCATCTATATATATATATATATACACAAAACGCAAACAACTTAACAACCTTCACTAGTCATGACGTGGCAATGACCCTACCGACCCCGGGGACGTCGGCATTGACACCGACACAGTCTGAGAAGGTGTGGAGGTGGCGGAGGAATCCTCCGGCGAGCTCCGGCACACCGGACACGTGGCATTTAACTTAAGCCACTCATCGACGCAATTGGCATGGAAAAAGTGACCACAATCTGGAATGGTTCTGATCGCTTCTTTCGTTTGATACTCCGACAGGCAAATAGCACAAGTGGTGTCGCTGGGCTTTGGAAGTCGTCGACTCTGGCCCAATATGGTTTTGGGGAATGATTCAATTGTCGGCCCATCGAGGCCTGCTACGGTGGAAGTGGGCTGGCGGCCCATTGAAGGGGAAAGATATGATGATGGACTATTGAGGCGAGCAAAGGCCTTGAACTTGCCGCAGATGAAACAGACCAGCCCAAGTAGGAAGAGGACGCCTGGGATTGCTACGCCGATGATCAATCCGTATTTGGCACCCCGTGGGATACCTGAAAAAACATAAATTGTTATTTAATTATTATAATAATTGGTCAAACCAATTTCTTTTATAAACAAACTAAAACGTCGATTTTGGTTTATTTATTTATTTATTTATTATTATTATTATTTGATTCAGTCAAACTTCAGTTCACCAATATTTTAGGCCTAATTCTTTTCAAACTCTCCCATTTTATCTCTAATCTCGTTAGGTAATACAAATTGATGTGACACTTCCCAAAAAAACAAAAAATGACTTATTTATTTTACTCTTTTTTTGTCCCCTCCACTGATATTAAATCATGTAAAGTCATCTTCCACTAAAATATAAGACTAAATTTAAATATATATAAGGTTAATTGAAGAAATTTAATGAGTAAATTGAAAAGCAAAAATAAAACTCGAGCACTAAATACTAAAACATCTTTTAGAACCTAAAATTGCAATAAATAAGCTGAAAATAAATATAAATTTGATGGCCCACTTGGGGAGGAGAGAACAAATCGAACAAATCGCTGTTTGTGTGGAAACCTTTTACTAGCACAAGCACAGTAAGGGTGTGAAAACCTTTTGCTAGCACAAAGGTAGTAAGAGTGTGGAAACCTTTTATTAACATATGGAAACCTTTTACTAGCATAAAGGCTTTTACTAGCACAAAGGCTTTTACTAGCATAAAGGCTTTTACTAGCATAAAGGCAGTAAGGGTGTGAAAACCTTTTACTTGCTAAGGATACTAAGGGTGTGGAAACCTTTTACTAGCATAAGAATACTAAGGGGGTTAGAAACCTTTTACTCGCATAAGGGTAGAGTATGGAGACCCTTTACTAGCATAAGGGTGTAAACCTTTTACTAGTATAAGGGTACTAAGGGTGTGGAAACCACTCCCCATCACGTGGTAAGGTCTAAACTCAAAGCCCACGAGACAATAAATAAAGAATAATTAAAAAAAAAAACTGCCACAATTATAATTATCTTTTTCTTAAAATTTTGTTTAAATCTGTTAAATTTTGTGGAGGTGGAGAGTGGACACAAGTTTGTTAGTCTTAAGAACCACTGGCCTTTCGCACTCTTTTTAGTTTGAATTATTCCACCGTCCGATCACCGGTAAAAAACTCCACTCGCCTTTCTCGACTTCACAAATATCCCCGGCGAAGAGAAAATTCAGAAGAGATATAGAGAGAATGGAACAATCAAATTATCATACCGCCTTTTGGAAGATTGAAACACTCGATTTCGGCACTCGAATTGCTTTTGAATCCACAATCTCCACCGCGCATCTCGCAATATCCGCAATCTGGCTCGCTCCAATTCACCACCATTCCTTCTTCAAGCTCCATCCCCGTCAACGGAAGCCTCTTCGTCGCAATAACCTAAATATAATCACAATCACAAAATCAAATCACTAATTTCAAAACAAATCCAAACAAGACGATGTTTCGATTTATACGTTACACGGTGATGGCAGGAAAGCGAAAACCGCCTTAAGGTCTCTGTTCGGCACATTGATTACAGAGTGGTTTCTGCCGCTCATACATTTGATCTTCCGGACACGATCGAACGGCAACGTATCGACGTAATAGGAGCAATTAAGAACAGTATACTCTTCTAATCGATAGTTAGAAACAAACGGCGAGTTCTCCAGATCAAAAGAGTTTACAACTAGTCGTCTCGGAAAACATTGATCCGGATCGTTTATCCACAGCCTCTGAAATCTGTAATCGATAAACTCCACCACGAGGTCTCCAGCGTTCGGGAGAGTCAGAATCGTCTGGCTTCGATTGTTGCAGAACAGGTCGAAATCCGGCTGGAATCCACATCGAGAATCCTGCGAACTCTTCAGTCGAAACGGAAATCGAACGGCAGGCAAGGAAACGCCACTGCAGGAGGAGCTTTTGCAAAGAAACTGCGATTCAGCTCCGTGGAGAATCAATAAGCGTAAAAGGAGGAGGAGGATGGCGACGGAGAATTTGGAGGGGGCCATATGAAAGCTCCGATTGGAGAGAAGAAGACGAAGAGCCGAAAAGGCATGAGGCTCTGGTTTTGGTAGTTCTGTTTAACAATTGAACCTTCAGAGTTTTCGTAATTAAATTAATTAATTAATTACAATGATTAAGGGTATATTTGTAAATTCACACAACTTGATTTGACTGCTATCGAAGTGGATTATTGTAAATATTTTAAGTGGCTCATATTCTAAGTTATGTTTTAAAATAATAAATGGCATTTTTATTTATTAAATTAAAATTAAATAATTTTCTAATTTTGTAGCTATTTCATTATTCTAATATTGACGGCCTGTTCTTCTAATTACCCTTTTAATTAAATTTTAATCCAAAAATATATATTTATGAGTTTTTTCTCCCAATTTAAGTTGGGAAAGGAAATGACAATTTTATCCTTATAAATATATATACACAAACACATCATTCTTACTCATGCGAAATATTTAAATATTAATGCATTATTTAAACAAGCAGTTAATATGAGGATAATGTCCCAATTTAAAAATATATAATGACGTGTCATGTGATGACTATACCAAGCATACCATAATGAGTAATTTTGAATATAATTTTTTTTAGATTAAAATGATGTGAATCCAATATATCAATAAGACAAATTAAAATCAATATCTTTACTACTTTTTTATTCTTAAAAAAATTAAATTATGCCGACAAAAAAATAGTAAAAAATCAGTCGACTTATTATTATTATTATTATTTTGAAAAATACCGTTAATTAATTTTAAATGTAATTAACTTAAACAAAAAGAATAACTAAATAAACAATATAAAATTATAATCATCTTTTTTAAAGCTAAGAGTATTAAGCTTTCACATCTATTTTACTAAAAAGAAAGAAACATAAAGCATCAATCAATCATTGTTAGCATTAATAACGATTTAGTTGACTATCAATAATGATATCGACCTTTATAACAACTTCTAGAAATTATCTCACTGTAATTACATTCATAATTTTTTTTAATATATGCCTTTATATATATATATATATATACTCACGCTACTTTTAAAAAGTTAAAATATTATTTTGACTCATGTATTTTGAATTCATTCAATTTTAGTATATTACTTTTAATGGTCCAAAATGAGTCGTTCCTTTAAAATTAAATTTAATTATTCAAAGTTGACTTTTATTGAAGTTGATTAAATTATAACAATAAATTTCCGTGTATGAATGGCCGAATATGTAGATTAATAAAAAAAAATGAAATTTAAAGTATAACATCAAAATGGTATTTTAGTAAATAAAAAAGAAAAAGCTACTTCGTGTATAAAAGTAAATATTGAATATTGAAATCTATATTTAAAGTAATTTGGTTATTTTTCTAAAATCGGTCGCTCTAATTTGCAAAGAGAACACTTCAGCCGGCCATAATAGAATATTGGGCCGTAAATGGATGAAGCCCAAACGAATGCTAGTTAATCGGAGCCGTTCAGTTGGGCCCATAAAGTATCATACTGGGCCGTAAAGAAGCCCAAATAAATGCCGGTTGATCGGAGCCATCAGTGGGCCCATAGAGTATGATATTGGGCATTTGCTTGGGTTTCTTGGGCTAGTCTCACAACATCGGTATAGCCTAAACGATCTCTAAGACGATAATAATAATAATAATAATTCTTAGACGAACACGACTCTCCACAATGATATGATATTGTCCACTTTCAGCATAAGCTCTCATGGCTTTTCTGTGGGCTTCTCCAAAATGTCTCATACCGATGGAGTTAGTATTCCTCACTTATAAACCCATGATCATTCCGTAAAATAGTCGATGTAGGACTTTCATCATCCAATAATAATAATAATAAAAGGTTTGTTTGTGTTAAAAAATGTCTCGTATCAATTAATGTTATTAATTTTTATATTATAGTAACAATATAGATGGTTATAACTCGACCAAATCAAAAGGAAGATAATATACGGCTCTTGATCTACACGATAAGCCTAGTAGTTTTCATATT